CCTTATTACAGGTTTTCAAAAACAGTCTTACGACAAATCTTTGGAAGATGCTAACAGCGTGAAATGGAGAGTGAGAAGCAACAACGTAACACATAATATGTCTACATCACCATTGATCACTGGCATCATGAGAGCTAGCAGATTAAAATGGTTGGGGCATATTGAAAGAATGTCAGATGACAGAGAAGTAAAAACTGTATACACCTGAGAGAGGATGGGCGTAGACCACGAGGCAAACCAAAAAAAAAAAAAAAAAGTTCGAGAGATAATATCCAGCCAGACCTGAAATTGCCCATAGAAGTAGAGTCTCCTTTCTGTGATCTTTTTAACCGAGGAGACTGATTGGCATTAGATGACATACATTTGAATGATTGATTATAATGTACAGCAAAACATATACCTGACATAAATTGAACATGTGCACCCTTATGAATATCTCGTCAAATTAAACTGTGACCCTGTAATGATCTATCGAAACTTGAAAATAAATGAGTGCTAAGCCCTCAAACAAAAGTGAGAAACCATTACGACTTCTAGTAAATATAATCGCATGACAAACGTTTTGTTTATTTAACTACTTGATGATTAATATGTTTTTAATCTGAATAAATAAAGCAATCAGGTCATTTTACAAGTTAATAGTGATTATTGTGTTTATTTCCCCTGTGTTACTGATACGCTTTTGGTTGTCTCCCTGGATTATGTGTTTAGTGATTTTTTTTTTTTTTTTACAGTTCAGAAATATGTATGTGTGTGTGTCATTACACACACACACACACACACACACACACATATATATATATATATATATATATATATATATATATATGTGTGTGTGTGTGTGTGTATAATGTCGTTCACAGAACAAACGCCAGCATTATTTTTTTGTTGCCGTTTTCCTAGGCCAGTTTACGTTCAAAAGTTTGCCATTGCTTACTAAATGGTAATATGTTCATACTACTGCTGAAACCAATGCAAGATGGTCTGCTGCCACATGACATGCCACTGTGATCGAAACTGATACCCCTGCATTACAAACTGCAACGCTAAAGCAACATATGCCGATACACATACACAAACATATGATATATATATATATATATATATATATATATATATATATATATATATATATATATATATATACATATATATATATATATATATATATATATATATACAATCGTTCCCCAAAACGTTGTACGGTACACCAGGCCCGTCTTATAATCAGCCCTCCCGAACACTCTCCTCTCTCACAGCAAATGACCAATAAAGCATCCTATGTGCATACGGGCGTAAAGTCTGTGAGGAGAAGAAAGACATATGAATAAAAAATACGTGTGCAAGATTGCGAGGCATTTAAACATTTCCATGAGCATTGTGTGTGTGTGTGTGTTTGTGCGTGTGTGTGTGTGTAAAGACGACAGACCACACCAGTTTCATCCAGGAATTAAAGAGTGGTCAACAGTTATCAGTTTCCTAGGCAGCGATGCAGACAGTGTTTCCTTAGTAATATAGCTTCTAGGCTACTGATTGTAATGTTTAAGCACATGTGTGTGAGCCTTCCAAAAATGGACATCAAGCGCCTCTATGAATTGACCTCTGCATTTGTACGACTGTAAACATGTATGCTCAACAGTTGCCCTGAATACGTTTTCTGAAAGTACTTATTTAGCATCAGTATGCATACAACGAACGCAGTGAATTGCTCCAATTATAAGTAGATGTTACAGGATACGTATGGCGGTTTGACTTCAGGAAATGGATGCATATAGAATGTCAGAATTATTTATCACATACATGATCCCTACAGTTGGTCTTTACCTGTAAATATACTAGATCGCTTCCCGTATTGGCGTATATACCGTGTCCACTGAAAATGTATCCCCTGATGATCTCAAACACAATTGATCAACATGTTACGTTACTGTTATCTGTGTAATTATTTCCATGTAAATTTTAACGAATAAAAATTCATTTAAACTAATAAACATTTATTGTATAGCACATAATAGTCACCAGCACATTTGTTGAGGGAATCTGGTGTTTGAGCCTAATGCACACATATCACAGCACTGATACTAACATCCACATCCAAAACAAATTAACAAACAATGTCGGACCAAAGATAGAAAGCAGAGTCTGAAATTATCAAATTACATCATACTAGTCGGTAACATCCTTCAACTGGTTACCGATTTGCAAACATTTGTAAAAGATATGTAAACGTCTTTTTTCCTAGCTTCTAGGCGTATAGGGTATATAGGGCTAGACCTATCCTATGCCTATCCTGCATAGTACTATTGTATTCAATTAGCTCACAGGAAGCTAATGCGGGAAATTCAACACCTGCTAGTGAAACATCTGTGAACGTAAACACAATGATTCAGTGCATAACAAGCAATTCACTAAGTGCGCATTTACTTTTTAGCAGGGATTACGAGTGCAATCTGATGTTTTGCGAACTTCGCCTACTCTACCAACTGTAGACACAATAAAGATATGCTCTGAATGTGTGTTTTTTTTTTTTTTCTACATACCGAGAAGAATCCCCCCCCCCCCCCCCCCCAAAAAAAAAAAAACATAAAGTGTAGGTTTCTTAACTTGACATTTTTTTTTTTAATATGGGCATCATTATCGACACTAGATTTACAAATATGACGAACACACGGAATACATGAGAACTGATGGGCCTGCCAGCAATGCTGTCAAGATTGTCGCCAGAGCTTTGACAATGTCCAAATATTATTGTAGCTCTCACTTTGGTCGGCATGTTGTAGTGGTTTTATATTGTCTGATATCCCCCCCCCCCCTCCCCCACACCCTACACCTACCCGCTACTACCCCTCACAGACAGGATTGGTATGACGATGATGTGAATTCAACACTGTTAACTATGAAGTCAAATTGCATATTCCTATTCTTTCACAATTGCTTACGAATGTAACCCTTGTCGCCCACAAATGTGACTCAAAAGGATCATTTTAAAAGCGGTTTTTTTCAGCATAGGTTTGACATTTTTTTTTTTTTTTTAACTGTGTGTATCCGAGCTGCGATATGTGCGTTCTTAGGTCGATACATCCGACAGCTGTGCAATGGACTATGAGGTGCCATACAGTAGGTGTTTATTCGTGGAAATGTGCAAAAAAATACGTACATACATGACATATACAAAAGATGTTTCAAGTCGTTGTTTGGTGGTCATGAGGGGAAGTAAGCACATTCAGTAGGTACAGTTAAAACACCAACAAGGGAAAAGATATAAACCTATGTCTTCATATAGATCAAATTTTTAGATAATGAATGTGATCAAGTAATCAGCCATTCTATATGCATCGATTCCTTGAAATCAGACCACCAGTAGTAGGTTTTCACTCCTACTAGGATCTAACTAATAAACTGTGTTTGATGTCCGCTTACAGCACTTTGAAACAGCATCATAAAACATATTTATTTTAACTTTCGATTATATGTGTGTGAGAATTATCGTTGTCCTGCATGTTGACTAGTGTAGACGATTTCTAAAAACATTTTGGCAGGTATACGTTTGTGTACCTAATATAATTTGTAACACCGAAAGTACTTCACACAGGAAACGCAGCGTTCGTTGTTGTCTAGGAAAATGATAATGATTGCCCACGTTTTGATTCTCAGATGGCATTCATATTATCTATCGCCTTAATAAAGCTGTCAATATATACTGGCAAACGTTTTATATGCGTGCTTGCGTCTGATTTTAATAGAACATACAATCAAATATATTCTATAGTATGACTGTCATACAGTTTTATAACGTTTTTTTTTTTACAATAGTGCTGTCAATGCTGACTGGCTGTTCATTGATTTTACTATTACATACTATTCCTGAACCCAGGACCTTCCAATCCACAGGCGAGCGTCTAACCGCTGTGTGCTGTTAAAGATCGCAGATTGTGAAGAGACACAATCACCCACAGCGTCGCAATGCACTTGATAATAATTGTGAACGTTCGAAAATTTTTAATAATGTTATTTATACACGTTTTTATAACAGTTTGATAGAACTTGCAAAGTTTCCAACAAGAAGACATGTGTACTGTCATAATGGTAAATGACACGGTGCACCTTATAAGTTATTATTATTATTTTTTTTAATTAACTGACAATATTGTTTCCATCTGTCGCTGCACTATTTATTTTCGTTTTCATTGAATTTTGATTCACTCAGTCAAAAAACATAATCTCTTAATTACCGGGATGTTTCATTAGAGTCACAGTGGTGTAGTAGCTATGCCTTTGTCTGTCAGCCTAAAGGTCTTTCATTCGAATCGACAGCAAATTCAAAAAAAAGAAAAATTATATTAGGTCTCATGTCGACGTAGCATGAAATGGACATCAGAAAAGTCAGGGATAGCAAAGGCGACCGGAAAAAAAAGTGCATTACCCATCGAGTTCCGAAAAGTCTTTAAAAAGGTCCCTGCCATCACAAACGTAACAACAGCCAGCAAAGTTTACTTTTACCTGGAAGTCTCAGTGGGGCAGTGATGTGACCGCCTGCACATTGACCAGGTAGGAATGCGCTCAAATGCCTAAAACGGCAATATATAATCGCAATTAAACACATTAAAGCCAGACATTATAGACGAACCATTATGTATAACATGAACCAACCGTGTGATCCGGTTGAGATATTTGCTAGTGGTACTGTCATGTAGTTTGTGTTGAGATTCGAGGCTACAGCACCGGTAACAGTTTCCTAAACGTTCCATTCCCGTCTTCAGCAGCCAGCGCAGAGTCCACTTGTCAAGGTGCTAGTTGCAGTATGATTGTAGTTCTTGTTACCGGTTACCATACCTCTGATTGTCGGGCGTCGATTAGATCCCATAGACACGCCCTCTTGATAATTCATGTCTTTGATATTGTCTGTATGTGGCAGGTGAAATAGGTGGAGATAAGACACAAGGAAGGGAATCTGTTGTGGGCGGACGAGCTATCCGGAGTAATTGAATATCCTACAGGACACTTGGGAGGGTTTATGTAGAGGAACCCCTGCAGCGCCGATCTCAACTCATTCAAGCTTGCCTCATCAAGTGGCTTAGCAGTGATAACTGTGCTTTGAACTTCTCCTCTATGTGCGCTCATGATTCTGCCAAAGGAGGAGAGCACTTGCTCAGTCTTGCTGATGCGTCCATTGTCAGACAAGGTAACGAACAAATTCATCGTCAGCTCGGAGAAGTTCTTCTGTTTCAGGAGCTTTTGGATGGCAGCTCGCATGTCAGCTCTTTTCTGTGATGGATCAGACAAGAATTCCAGAAGCTTTCTGTCTCTCTTGTGTTCGCTCTGCAAAGTTGTCAACTCTTTTTCAACAGCTTCAAGTTTATTCTGTTTGGAGGCTGCAGAATACAAGGCTGTAGCATATCGGCCCTCGACCCCATACACCTGGACGGGACTCTGTACGAGTGTACCTGCTTTTGCAACAGAAGAACTGAACTGGCGCACCTTATTTCTACGCTGAAGATTTCAAGGGTTAAGGCTTTCCTTCGTTTTGATGTGGTTTTTAAAGTTAGCTATTTCCCGGTCTCTCTTTTATAACAACGGATAATTTTGGGTCCTTGTTACATTATCTTACAAGAGGCAGCTAGTTTAGAACATTGTTTCTTGCTCTTACAACAGGGGATTAGTTTCGAACATTGTTACATTCTCTTACAACAATGGGATTATTTTAGAACATTGGTACATTCTCAACGTGTTCTTTAGCTAGCTCGCTATGTCCTGTATTCTCTTCTTCTTTACTGTGTGATACTCATTAATATATACATTGATTAGCTTCTGCACTACACTACATGGCCCGGCAATGTTGGTTACCCGCTGCTGTGTTTACTAAGGTACATGAAATTATGTACCTGTCAAAAATTTCAAATTCCACCATCATATATTCACGGCTATAATAAACAAATTATAAGGGTCACTCATAATGTCGACGTTTTAAAGAAGCTACCCATATGTTTAGCTAATGTGAGAAGTAATATTTGTTTTGGAATATTCACTCAAAAAAAGTTTTATATTCTGATTTGTGTAAACAAACAGGGCTTTTAAATTTATTATAAATGAGACGTGTTCCATTTTATAACTAAATAATAAAAAGGAAAGATTCAAACACATGACTTCAAGAAGAAAAAATCAGATTTTGTTTCCCCTTGTTTGGAAAACGGATTGTATGTGTTTCCCCTTGTCCATTAAATTATTTGTCACAATAACGTTCATTGTAAATAAAACGACAATCGCATGGCTACAAGACTAGAAGACAAACCTGTCACTGGACAGCCCACATTCTACTCGTCTTAGACTTGTCTCGATCCTGTCACCTCTATGGTAATTAGGCCTATTTGAATCATGGATCTTCCTCTAAAGGTAAATAGTCATTCTTTTTTATTTATGTGTCACATCGGGTTTAATATTGAGCCATATCCTAATTATCTTGGGAACGTTACGTTTTCAAACTCAAGATCTTGGGTGGGAAATTCCTTGATAGTGACGCCACAATTCCAGTGGCCCAACCACCGCTTTGCACGCAGATGAATCCTCTAACGCCTCTATGGGGAGAGACGATTAGTTTGAACTTTTTCTTGACTGAGCTTTCCGAGAAGACAGACGACTTGTTGACTTTGTGCTATTTATCTACCTATTTCTTTTTGAATCACCGATTCGTGCAAGAATATCCTTGAGCATGGTATTATAACTTGTATGGAAGCCAGGTCGGCAATCAGTAACCAAGCCTTATCCAGTGTAACTTACCTCTAGCAGGAAGGAGGAAGTAAAATGTGTCATCATGTCACCCCTGTTATTGCACCCTGTCGGTGACTCTAAAGTGACAGTAGTATACTACACGTGGGAGAGTCATCACTAATGGGTATTGTGTTGAACAGTGATTTGTGTAGCCATGTTTCCTGCCTTTACCAGAGGGCGGTAGACACTTTAAAATAGAATAATCATTAACACAAACTCTACGCCGTGATATACCCAGGACAGTAAAAATGTATAATGTGTGTGTATCTAGTTAGTCAATGCTTAAAGACATGATTGACAGTATGCTGTATTTTGCTTCGTGAAAGAATTCAGGAGTCAGCGCACCAGCTTTCCATGATGTTTAGGGAGAGTCGTAAAATCGACTTTTAAGAGCCATAACAAAAGAAGTTACTACAGAGGCCGTTCCAGTATTTGTTAGATGGTGCCACTCGCTGTATCGGTCGACAGGGGGCTTACTTTGAATAGAATACAGGTTTTTTATTTAACTGTTAATTTTTTTTTTGTATGCAATTAGTCTCATTACTTAATTGTTAGACCTGTTAGTCCACACAATGTGAATCAAAGACTTACCATAATTGCAATTAATAAATAATGCATAGCAATTTTCTTGCTACCGCGTTAAAAAAAAAAAAAAAAAAAGCCTGGTTCTTCATTTATGTTGCCAGCCAGCACCCTTAAAAACACCGATTATCACCCCAAAGCTGATTCTCACATTATTTGCTTTCCATTCTTACTTAATTTGTGTGACATTTTGCAGTTTATAACGTTCTGCTATGAAGGCAAAGTTGAAGTATTTGTGCATCTTTTTTTTTTTTTTAATTTTGTGTGCTTTATGTCCGGTAGCCCCGTTCGTTAGATTGTCCATCTTTCCAGAAATCAAGATGTGGCCAACCATCATCTTTTTTGCTAAACAAGTCTTCAGGAAATTGTATCTGTATTATTAATCACTGTTGTCACGAGGTTACATCTGTGTGTACCTGTAAAAGATATTTGATGAAAATGGCCGTCATATGGAACTGTCTTGTGCTATATAACAGCCTGCCAGGTTTGCTCGCAAATTACCAATGTTTTGCTACGAGGTGTAATTTAACACGTCAACATGTTTTTATAGACCATATAAACCTGTTGCACGTATCGAATGTAGATTTGCACATTAGTATAGACTGTTTGATACCGTGTAATCCATGCATCTAGAATGCCCCTTTCATTTGTCCCCCTAACTCGACAATTGATCAGTATAGACAAATGCGTCTTATTGTTTCCCTTGTCGATGACTTTCTTGATCTATGTGTTGCATTTGTTTCCCTCTATTTTCAATATGATAATAATATCGTATCACCTAATTATTTGTCATTGTTATTGTGTGCGTGTGTGAGTGTTTTGTGTATGTGTGTGTGTGTGTGTGTGTGTGTGTGTGTGTGTGTGTGTGTGTAGGCATTTTTTTGTAATTTTAAAGAATGAAACACTTGAAACATAGTCCCTCAAAGTGAGTGTCAGTACATATGCTGACTAACATGAGTGTAATTAGGCACAAAAGCTATCTGTCATAAACAGACTGACTGTTCTACCGGCATTTACAAGACGTTGATATACGACGATAGACAGTCGCTGCAATTTAGGAGGGGAAACATAACGCTGACGTCTAGTAGTCATGCGTCAAAGAACAATTTAGTATTTCTAAATGCTGAACCAGTTTCACACCTCCTGCAGATCGCTGCATTAATAACCTTTATAGTAAATGAACCATGTGGTACAGTGATTATTATTAAAAAAGAAAAAAAAAAACAATTGATTGTAGGAAAGGGTATTTCAGTATCAAATAGATTCGACTTTGGCGTCATGTCAGAAAAGATCGATTGCCGTATGTCTTGGCATCAAAAGCAAACTATGCTTTTATGCGATGAAAAAAAGTTTATAAACGGATTTGATAACAAAACAGGACACATAAATATGTGCCAGCCAAAAATTGTCACCGATATGTTAATTTTAAACTTTTGAAACGCGTTGACTGACTTTCTACCCCCCCCCCCCCCCCCCCTAGGAAAGCACACAAGCGATAAACAGCCGAGGACACAAAGTGCCACCATGTGATGAGGATCGCTGTGGAGAGGTCCCAGAAACAGCGTTCAGATAACTGGCCATATTTATGGCCTGCCTATATTGCGGCCCCTAACAAAAGCCATAGTTGGGCTTCAAATTAAAAAAAAAAAAATGTGTCCTAAGAAGGACGAAACATCTATTAATTTTTTTTTCGAAACGCGTTGACTGACTTTCTATCCCACTAGGACATCACACAAGCGATAAACACCCAATGACACAAAGTGCCACCATGTGGATGAGGATCGCCGTGGAGAGGTCCCAGAAACCGCGTTCAGACTATTGGCCATATTTATGGCCTGGCTATACTGCGGCACCTAGAAAAAGCCAGGGTGGGGATTCGAATAACAAAAAAATTCGTCCTAAAAAAGACGAACCTGAATTACCATAAATAATCAAGAAACGCGTTGATGCATTACACAATACGTATGCTTCATTAAGCAGGCAAATATTGTGAGACATATCTATCGAGCAAACTGTATTCTGGCGTATCAGATCGAACAATACAATACATATCTGACATCAAAACATTATTATTGCACAATGAATAGTATCAGCGTGTGAGAAATTGCTTGTTCTAATGATAAATGCAGTCATTCAGTCTTCTGTACTGGATGCATATGCTAGAGAAAAAATCGGTTCTTTTCTCCCTCGATCCGAATTTCCTGTAGTTATATCCCTTGGCGAATTGAAATAAAGACAGGTAATTCAGCACATTTTGTTCCTTTTTACTGTTCAGAGTAACAGTGAACACGAGCTGCTATGTGTGAGCGTGTGTGCGTGTGTGTGCATTGAATTGAGGTTGTATGTGGATGTGTCAAGGTTTGTGTGTGTGTGTGTGTGTGTGTGTGTGTGTGTGTGTGTGTGTGTGTGTGTGTGTGTGTTTGTGTGGAAATAAAGTATCGGAACATGCAGACCCAATTAGTATGATGTTGATAAAAAGTTCGGGCATTGCTCACGGAACAATCGTTTCAAAGATCGCACTTCTAGAAAAAATGTTGACATGCATATTTCTTTTGTCGGTTCGACAGCTATACCATGGTGAATTTGCTTTGCTGTGACAACGACCAGTTTCATACATGATTACCCTCTCCAACAGCTTTAATCAAGAAAACACATTCTAGCGGTGTCAACATGTAGCAACAATTAATTGAAAGCCACTAGTCTAATACATAATCGTCCCACACACATCATGCACGACTTGTATTTTAATACCACTAGTCTGGTATATCCTCTTTCCTCAATCAAGATGCACCAACTCGTCTTTGAATGCCACTAGTCTAGTACATCATTTTTCCCAGTTCTTAGCTGTTCGTGCACTTCTTGACTTGTGTCGTCTTCCAGGACATGGGTTTTGCGTGTACATCCGTTTTACGGATCTAGGAAGGCGGTTTGATGACCGGGGATATATTAGAAATGGCGACTCGAGAGTCATCATCAGCATCTATGTCATGGTATCGTAGGGATGGTTTGAGCTGTAGTAAAAAGGAGGACATACGACAGAAGAGTAGCTGTCTTTTCATAGTGTTAACCCTTTCGCTGCTATGGACGTCTTTTCCCGATTTCCCGTACGCTGCTACGCCCGTCTTTGGACGTTATTTT